ACTGAAAGAGGCACATGATAAAATTAACATTTTTGAGATCGAATTGAACGCACTCAAAAACAACATCTCTGTACTGAGCGAAGCTATATCAAAAATGATGCCACTAGCTCCGCTCTCGTGAATTACGTCGACCAATGATGTGAATAAGCTCAAGCTAGCAGGGGAGCTACTTACACACATTGCTAACGAAGTTTCCGAACGAATTCGCCGTACAAATAATGTAATGATATTCAATGTCCCCGACAAAACCAAGTTAGCGAAGGTGAAGCACTCGCTCACCAATCTCTGTAACATGACTCCCGACTCCTTCGATATCAAACGTCTACGAAAAACACCCAAATGTAAATCGTGCCCTATACTTATCACTTTTAGAGATCAAGTATTGGCCAAGAATTTAATAGCAAAACGATTCGTTATGCGACAGTCAGCCAATTTGGGGCCTATCGTGATCAAACCGGACAAAACACCGCTGCAGAGAGCATTTGCCTCAACCAATAAGCTTCCGCCTAAGCAAAGGGCGGAAGGTTCCCCACCGCGACTGGACTTGCTACCTCACTCCCAGTAGACCTTGATCGGTCACAACAGCACGTGGACCCAAATGTGACAAAGGCCTACAGCCCTGAACTAACTTCGTCCAACAGAGTAGTGCAATATGAAGCTGTTGTTCGTCAAGATGAGGCTGAGGTAGATAAACCGACCGATTTCGACATGTGTGACGCTGATAACGAACCTCAGACAGATGAAGTTATTGGTAACACATCCAATGAACCTATGACAAGCACCCCAATGACTACTAGGGAACTCTCACGCAACCGCCCAAAACGAAGGCGCATTAGCAAGCCTGCCTCTTGCAACTCCGACGTGCCGAGACATCGACCCGGAGAACGTTCCAAGGAAAAAAGCAACCCTCACCCTCCGTGCTGCCCAACAAGTGCTCATCTCAGAACAGACAGATGGCACCCCTAAGGGCAATATCTAACAATTATGTACCACTGTTGGAGACCACGACTACCAACAAACAAGTGCCGCCCCCAGAAAGCCATACTTGCTTCCAACTCCAACTGCTCGACGTATAAAAGCCAATGTCCTCAACCACAGCCAGAACATGCGCTACTCCCGCCCGGTAGGGTTAACGCAAGCAACACCACTGCCCCACTTCATAGCCCCCAGCCCGACCAGTCTTTTAACCCTAGACTGTCCAATACAACACGGTCAGCTGGTGAATCCACACCCTGCTCCCTAAGGCCGCAATTTCCGCGGTGCTATCAAACGGACAGTAACTATAATCAACTGCAGGTATTCCGCTACAAATCTGCTTCTTAAAGAACACCTCGCGAAGTAACGAAACCCACCATCCCACCCTCGCCTGCAAAGATTAACCGCCCGCGCCCTACGAGACCATCGCTTACTGAACTGCCGAACATGTCAGTACGCCTCCCCGCTCCAATTTTATGGAATATGGCAGGCTACGGCTCGCCACAACTCACGAGACTATTGGACGAGGCTGCACTCTATCATCTTTATGGGCTCTTAAACATTCCACCGATGCCCTCGAGCAATCGCTGCCCACCTCTCCAACAACTCATGTAGTCGTCGGCTCAGTAAAAGCTAATTCCAGAAACAGCATGCATTATCAGTTTCTATCTCCCCAGGAGAACATGCTCAAAAGTTCCCCCGCTGCACAACTCAACGGCCCCGGCTTAACGGCAACTCAAGTTTTTGTTTCCCCTGAGACACTTCTAGCCACACCTACGAGCTTGTCTTCCACGCATCCAACTGACGACCTAACCAGGAGACTCATCATTGCATGCAAACACGCCATCAACCCTCTCCGGGTCTTGAAATGCGATACAGACACCGCAGTAACCAAACAGCGTCTGGCAGAAATATGCCTCTCAGGACTGCACGCCCACTGTACTTCATCTTCGACTGCTTTCGTACAACAAAACCCTGCCAATACCTTAGCCATCGCCAATAACCTTTCCCACACCCACACCCGTAAGGATGACTCCGAAAAAATCACCGAAGGCAGCTACCCAAACCTCACACACTCATGAAACAGCAAAGTGTGAGGCATCCCCCCAGCTGACATCCGAAGGGGGTATTTGGCCGTATACTACCCAGGTACTCAACGTACCCGAGGGTCTTTCTCTGGATGCATTTACGAGAGCTATCCTTGCAGTATTTGGTTTAGCAACACGTTCGGTACGTGTTGAGAGACTACCTAAAAGAAGCAGTAAATTCCCTGCACCGATCAAAATATATTTTAAGGATGCAACAACTTTAAATACCGTCGTAACAAACTTTGAACAACTACGCAGTGCAACCATGATGGATCAACTTTTTCTCAAACCGCGAAAGCTAGCGGTAATGAAAATAGCCCGCGGTAACAGGGAAACAATCACACGTCCCATATCCACACACCGGACTTCCGCAGCTAGTACATCACCCAACATTATTCAAGGTTCTTCTCACCATATTCCAGATAGTCCGGACTCTGGAATACCTACCTTATCCCACCGGTTGTTACCGCC